ACAAAATTTTGATTTTACCCTTATCTAGTATGGTCTTATATTGTCAATGAAAAGATGCCTTAGATAAAAACCGAAGTGTTTTGCAAAGTTGCAAGTCATCTTATAAAGCTTTCTTTAATTGTACCGGTACATGTTTATGATTCTTTGGCAGAATCCTTTAATAAATAATTACACAATGCTTAGCTTATTTAAAGGGCAACTAAATAGAGCCTATTATGGTTTTTGTATTTATCAAGTTATGTATATTGATTATAAATTTGAAAAAAAAAATAGAAAAAAATGATTATCTTCAGAGTTATGATGATTTAAATATGAGAAACCATAAACCTGCAAAGGACTTCCGTTTGCACCATCTTGCCATAAAAAAAACCGCCCTCATGAGGTATAAACAGGTCAGGTAACAAAGCATGATGACGAAATAGTATCTGATTAAATATAGGCAACTTAGGGAGCCATAGTTGGCTGGACTGGTGAATTGACTTCTAGTTTAGGTTGTTTCGACTTTTACGTTAATGTTATTTACAAGCGTATCAACATACAAACATTATGGATGTGCAATTGATCGAGACAGGCATTTTGTTTTGCTTTTTGTCTAATTGTCTAATAAATGCTGTTTCCAGTACTGCACTGTGCGGCGTGCAAATTATTCAAAGTATGGATGCTGGAGTATGCAATCTTGAGTTCGTAGGTGGTGGTGGAAACATTTTCGTCCATGTATTCACGGGGCTGCACTGGCAAATCATGGGACAATTGTCACAGGAACACCAAGCAGATTGTTCACAGACTTCCGTGTAATTTGAAATAAAACTATCATCCAATCGGGGCATCGTCGACAATATACTCTCATCACTCACACTGGACTGATCTGAATCTTCACAGTATACCGTAAGCCCGGAGGCATGAACATGTAAGGGAAAAGTAAGGGATGAGCTTATGCTCGAGGACCAACTCAGAAAAGATGATTTTGTTTGGGGGTTAAACATTGTAACCATCTTGCTAACAACGAAAAATTATCCAAAATAATTATTCGTTCACCGCGCCGGGCTCGGGAAGATAATACTTATTAAAATGCGTCATTGATTTCCACGACACTTACAATGAAGAAACAAACATGTTCATAAAAAACACACACATTTTATTACAATACGATTTACATACCATCAGAATTTACGGTGAAATAATGGGTAGGGTCTGTGAGGAAACAGTGGACGAAGGCATTTATCATTATCTTCGTTTTGGTATGTTTTCGATCGAACGTAAACTCTCGACGCAAAGCAATTTTCCACCATGAGGTTTTTCAGCATGATTTGAGCTGGAACAACTTCCTTTGACCTAACAGGTAATGTCTTTCATTAACCAATCAAAATGATGTGTCGTAATGAGGAAATTTTCCGATTATTGACGATTTTTTAACGCAATGTGGAAGTGAATTACCGCAATGTTAAAATGCGATCTGTAGCACTGATTGCAACGAAGAAACAATGATTTTCCCCCTAAAAACTGGCGATTCGCAATTTCCAAAATATAAACGACTGTTAATAGTAACCGTGGGTAAACTGAGTGTAGAGGAAAAATTTAAACACCTTTCACGTCGCCAACATGTTACATCGTTCAAACCCTAGGCCTTTCATGATAGTGAGTCTCAAAGTAAACTATGCCCAATAACCAGGTACACGACTTAACGATCACATTTTCGGCTTTTCGAAAGCTACTACTCAAAGAAATATGGATTACTCCAGTATTGCAACATCAGGGTTCATCCTGAGTGAATGACAGAATAGAAAGGGTGCGAACCACGTTGTGTACGTTCGCCATGCACTCTGAAATTAATGCGAGTTTTCTCATAAAAACTAAAAGCACGAACCAAACTACCATGCCAATCACGATTATTATGAAATAAAACACACCTTTTACACGCATATTTTAAAGAAAATCGTTGACGCCCAGTAAACACACTCTGGGCTTATAATCGTGAATGCTCTCAACTCAATAAATACCTAGTAAAAATATAGGGATGGGCTTCATACTCGGGAGGGGCTTACGATCGGGGAAGTACGGTACTTTAACGCAATTGGGCTTCCACTCTCAGAATACTGTGGTTCAAACGCATAAGGCTCTAACCCAAGTTTTAAAAAGCACATTGTGCATATAAAAGTTTATACTAGTCGTATACAATGCTTGGCAGCATGAATGGCTATGTACAATGACATATACGAATGCGATCAGATACTAAAACGTCTTTGAAAAGTACCCGGATGTTAAATATGTTCGTTCGTTATTTATTCCCTTCATGAATGGCCTCCATGGTGTTTAATTGCAAGCACTTCAAATGCCTATCTAAGCTACAGTTATAATTAAAAAAAAATTAAACCACTGCAATATTATTTCAAATACAGTTTAGAATATACACAACTATAAATTAAGGCCGCATTTAGGTTCGCTTTAAACATTGACACTAGAATGTAGCTATGTACTAATGATAGTTGCTTTTTTTAGGTCTAGGTCCACGTATGCCACCTCCTCCTATGGGTATGGGAGGACCACCTCCTAGATTCCCACCACCAGATGCTATGGGGCCACCACCATTTGGTAAGTCAACGTGACTCTTTACTGAACTGTCTAACACAGTATTTCTGCTTGTTTTGTATTCTTGATTCAGTATTGTATACCCTGCAATATGGATTGAATAATCAGCAATTTTATTTGATGTGTACAGGAAGAGGTTTTCCTCCAGGTGGTCCACCGCCAATGGGACCTCCTCCAAATCTTGGTCAACTTGGTATGAAAGATAGAGGTCCTCCACCCCGCTTTGATGACAGAGGCTTTCGAGGAGGTAAATCTCTTACATTGTTTTAGCATGGAAGA